TATGGGGATTAACATAAGAATAAAAAAAAAAAAGATTCTCTCTTGTTCTCTCCCTCTGCCTCTGCCCCTCCCCATGCTCTCCCACTCTCTCTAAATAAATAAATAAATAAAATCTTTTTTAAAAAGAGAGAATTGTGTTACGAAAGGATTAAGACCAACTCTATGAGTTATAACAATCAATATGAAAGTCCCCTATTGAGAACAAATAATCCCTTTCCTAATTAATGCCATTACTCCCTTTAATAATGAAGATTAATGCAACATAACTCTTTCAAGATTAAAAATGAAAACTTTACATTCTTCCCAATATGTAGGGTGAGGGAATAGGTAGCCCTGTACCCCATTTAAAGATGGAAAAAAAAAAGAATGTAGTGCTTTAAATAAGGAGCTGGGAATGGAATAGGTTCTCATGACATTCATTCATTGTTGTATTTATTCATCAAGCGATTCATAACACTCTCATGCTGAAGCATCCTTCTTTGTCTCTTGTCTCAATAAATGTCATGTATTGTCCTACTTCCATCTTTATGTCATGTAGGTGGTGGACATACCCGTGGCTGACTCCCTGAGTATGACTCACCCACATTCCCGGTCAGAAGTACCCTGGTGCACGAATCCGTATATAGTGACGTCAGAGAAATGGCAGAATGTTTGGTGAAAGGCAGCATATTTTTCAGCAGTTTTCCCTGAATAAAGTATGATAATAGATTCTATAAAATATTAATACTGGAGTTGAATTTCTCTATAAATAATCCATCTAAAAATTATCTCTACTACTAGAATATGATTCTATTCCTTGTAATAAAAACAAACTGAAACTATTTGTAGGGACTTACTTCCTTGAAATGAAATATTCCTAAAGATGTAACAACTATGAATTAAGAACAACAGACTCTGATTATTACAGGCCACTGCTGTACTTGGGAGTTTTTCTTACACTTCCTATGACCATTTCCATGCACTTCCTCAGACCTCTTTTTCAGGTACATGTTCTCCTTCTAAACAAACATTCCTGTAAGAGATTCAAATTCAGCAGATTGTTTTTTGGTGCCTAGGATAAGTCAGCACCAGGAAGGACTTCCACAGGCACCGTCTTAGAGAATAAACCTCCACACTTCTGAAAAAAGAATTTGCATCTGCTACTCGTTTCCTGAGATTTACTTGGATCTAATCTTTTTTCTATTTCTCTCTCCTATTTCGGCATTGCTCCAATACCTCAATACTCTCAGGGAAAGTTATTAATAGCTCATATTTTCAAACCAAAGTTTTCCCACTGAGCACTAAGAGCTACAGATAGGCTTGGAAGTTTTGTCCAGCAGAGATCTGTGCTGTTCTGTGATGTTGGGTCTCACAGTCTGCCATACAAAACAGTTGCTTTTTCCTGGGTTTCCCACTTGCCCAACGATTTCGTCGTCACCAAGTCTACTCAAGATCCTTCCTTCCATCATGTCTGTCTTCCTAATTTTAAACTCCACCATCCTCTGCTCTAAGTCATTTTAAATCTTCTGATAAATAAAAGTTATTTTTTAATTGTAAAATATTTAAGGACACACAGTACGATGTAATAACTTCTTCCAATAGCTTGGATAACTAAAAATTTATAAATATTCAACATTTGAGGGTTCTTATATTCCTTTACTAGAATACATCATTAATATCCTCTAATATTATTTACATATCCAATGAAATATTTAATGGCATGTAATCATAGCTCAATCTAAAGAACAGAGAGATTAGGGATGCCTGGCTGGCTCAGTCCGTAGAGCATGTGACTCTTGATCTTGGGGTTATAAGTTAGATCCCCACGTTGGTTATAAAGATTATTTAAAAATAAAATCTTTTAAGATTTTATTTATTTATTTGACACAGAGAGAGAGACAGAGAGAGAGGGAGAGAGAGAGGGAACACAAGCAGGGGGAGTGGGAGAGGGAGAAGCAAGCTTCCCACTGAGCAGAGAGCCCAATGTGGGGCTCGATCCCAGGACCCTGGGATCATGACCTGAGCTGAAGGCAGACGCTTAATGACTGAGGCACCCAGGTGCCCCTGAAAATAAAATCTTAAAAAAAAAAAAAGGAAAAGATAGATTTGAAATAGTTAACTTAGCAGTTTTGACCTCTTGTGTTACAAAGTGGCCTACTGTGAAGTTTGAGTAGCACTTTCAGGGAGCAGGCTGCAAAACCAGCAATTTGGCTAGAAGGTTGAAAAATTCCAGAATTGGATGCTCTCTGGAACCTTAGAAGGCTAGGATTCATTCAGTACTACTTCTTATCTTTCTCATTCTCTGCTGCTCCAGGTAAACAATGGGCGCCATCACCTCCATAGTCCAAAAGCGAAGGTGTCCATCCTCATGAGCGGTGACAATGACAGGGGGCTGAGTATCAACTACATTGGTGCCCCCAGGTTGTTTTTTGTCCACCAGCTGTTGCTCTCCCGCTGTGACATCAGTTTTCTCACCTACAGAAAAGTTAATGAGCTACCGTGGGTGTTTGCAATACTTGGAATTCCAAATTTTATAGAACATAAAAGAGGAGGCAGGTAGGAAAACAGCAAACCAACACATTCTTTTCCCTAGAACATGTTTTTCAACCCCAGCGAACTTCACTCAAGGCAGAGAACAAAAAAGCATTAACAAATAGAGTCCTGGATCACTGGAAAAGCCTAAAAAGTTAATTTTTGACCCTATTACAAAAACCTCTGCCCTGTATTTAACAGCTATAAGTCAATACACATCCAGTGTAAGTCTTACACATCCAAAATGGCTTATGAATCTAGTGTAAGTTTTAGGAAAATGGGCAAAGACTAAGAAGCTCAGTAATGCATTGGATTTTTAAAAATCTAGAATTAGTATTTAAAAATGGAAATTCTGCCTCTTTGACTACAGAATCTTATACCTCAACATTTAGTCACAAAAAGAATGTATGGTAGGGGCGCCTGGGTGGCTCAGTAGGTTAAGCGTCCAACTCTTGACTTTGGCTCAGGTCATGATCTCAGGGTCCTGGGATCGAGCCCTGCATTGGAGTCTGCTTGTCCCTCTCTCTCTGCTCCTCCCCCCCAACTTGTGCTCTCTCTCTCTCTCTAAAATAAATAAATAAAATCTATTTTAAAACAGAGAATATACTGTATTCTATAGCCTCAACTCCCTATTGCAAAGGAATTGTTACAAAGAAGAGAGGTGATTTCATACTGACCTTTAACCTCATTGTCATGTATGCTCTGCTTGCTTCCCTGAATTAGGGGAGAAGACGAGAAAGTATTTCTATGACATTGTAAGGAAATGGGATATACTGGGTGAGTAGATTTTTTGGGGAAACTCACATGCCTTTTTTTTTTAATTTTTAATAATTGGAGTATAGTTGACACACAATGCTACGTTGTTGCTTTAGTTCTAGGTGTACAACATGGCAACTAGGCAAGTCTTTACCTTATGCTACACTCACCACATCTGTCCCCATACAACGCCATTCCCATACCATTTGACTATATTCTGTATGCTGTATCTTTTCTTCCTGTGACTTATTCATTCTACAACTGGAAGCCTGTCCCTCCCTCTCCCCTTCACCCATTTTGCCCATCCCCCACTCCCCCGGCAACCGCCAGTTTGTTCTCTGTCAAATTTACATTTCTAAGCATTAGTTTTAAAGTTATTTTTGAATTAATTCTTCTAAAAAAATGTATCGCAGAGATCATCATGTTCACAAACAGGATATCTGCAATAACATTCTCCTGGCTCAGGTAGGGCATAATAATGAGAGTAATCACATGTGTAAAGCAAGCCATGTTCTTGGTGTATGTGATCTCTAATTCTCCTAGCAGCCCTGAGAGTTAGGCTTTGTTATTCCCTTGTTACTGACAAAGAAACAGAAACTCAGAGATTAGGTGATGTCTCTAAAGCTAATCAGAAAATAAAAGAAGCACTTGGACTGAAGTGTAAGTCTGTCTGACTCTTAACATCCTTGTACGTTTATTCTTTTCAGGAAACTAGTGGTTATAAAACAAGTTTTGCAGTAAAAAGTTTCCTTTAAACAAAATCCTACTAGAGATGTAATGTGTAAAATCTATAAAACTGGGACTGAGAACAGAGTTTGAAAACCAGGGCGTTAGAGGTGTGTTGTGAAATGTGTGTGATATTTTTTAGCCAAAGAGATTGCCTAGAATTGTTTTATTATTTCAGAAATGTAAAAGTAGCACATGTAATTTATTTTATTTGTGAGTATGTGTTGATTATTTGCAGATATGAAAGCCTTGAAAATATGGGAAATAAAAGATGATTATAGTTTAGACATTGTTTTTTAGGAAAACAAGTTTTTACATGCACATGTATACACAGAATTTTTCCACCTTGACCTTCTATCAAAGGAGGGGCTCAAATGGGACAAATCACTATTTTTTAATCAACACTGGGTGTAATGGGAAGATATACTCTTTCTATTCCTTGCTTACCTTGTTACTCTGTGGACCTTTACTAGAATCACATTGAGACGAAGAGCACACGGAATCCTGACTCGATCTCCTACAAGGAGAGGGAGGAAGCCCAAGGAAGGAAAGTTAAGATATTCCATCACACCCGAAGTGTGCTCTTCTCTGCTTTAATTTCAGTAGGTTGTTTCTTTCAACATCTGTGCATACTGAGCCACTTCTTTAAGACACAAATCACACCTTATGTCTCATGTTACAACGTTCATCTGTCCGGTATTGGTAGATACTGTTGGGGAGCCTTGGTAATTAAGATTTATTGTTGCCTGGGTCTGGGAAATAACATTCTGCCCAGTCCCAAAGCTCAGGCTAGATTTAGTCCTGGAAGCTGATGTTTAAATGGCAGGAAGCGGGTTGGAGGCGGGCACGTGGGAAGCCTGGCTAACTTCTGCTCTTATGGTATCCAGTCCTGGCCTGGTCCGTCTCGGCAGTGCTCTGCTAGACGGGCTGGAAAGTGGCTTAGGTTCTGGTGCAGGTGTCGGTATGGAACAAGTGTTCAAAAATAGTCTCAATAAGGCAATTTCAAGTCAAGTGGTAGGGAAGGTGCTATATGCTGGCTCACTGCTGCTTTTGATTTCTTCCCAGAGATATGTTTACTATAACGTGTTGCCTGAAAATCAGAGTTTTCAAACATATCTAAAGAGGAAAAATAACTTTTCCTAAATATTTAATAAACAACGCCTTGCTGCCTCAGAAAGGGATGGAGACAGCTCAGTTTCAGTAGATGTCATATGACACCTGCTGCAGTGGATCTTTCACATTTGCCCAGCAAGTTCTTCCTTCTGCTTCATGTCAGTGCTCATAGAATTAGATTGTGGCCACAGTGTGGTCAAGTGAGCATTTTCTATCTCTTCTGCTGGTGTAGAAATTGTTGTGAGGCTGAGGTGGTAAGGGAAATTAGGACACCCCCACAGCAAATCAGATCCCTAGGGACCACCCACTTACAAAAGACAACAACAGGGAAGAAAGCTTAAGCCAAGTAGTGCACCCAACTTATGTCTTCCCTCAGTTGTACCTTCCTTAGTTCTGGGATAAATAGAACTCTTTTTACATCACCCACATACATCCCAGACAGTATTTCTTGATCAGTAAGTACTGAGTTACCTTGCACATTCAGAGGATCGAAAGAGGAACAGTATGTTGTTAATTCTAAAGCGTTTGGGATCCAAATCAGGATCCACAGTGAAGCAATCTTCAGGTCTGTACCTGGAAGTAAACACACATTCACATAATAAACACAAGGTAGGCAACCTACATTACTTATATCATACATCCCATGCAGAGCTAATCAACTCCTGCAACATTGATACTATCAAACATGAAGAGAAAACCCAAAGGTATAGAGTTGGAACCTATCTTCCTGATGAGGCCCTGTGTAACAACATGACCATTCAGTGTTTAAAAGTCTTTTAATCCAAAATGAAATAAAATAAAAATAAATAAATAAATGCTTTTTGTCCAATTAGCTGGTCTAGTCAGCCTAATTATAGGTCAGAATGGGCTTATATATAGCCTCCTCAAAGTTTCAGAAAGTTTAAAGAATAGAATTTTACTCTTTGAGTAAGTCAAGTGACAAATTTGAATAAAACAGGGCTACTAACCTCAAGGAGCTTAAAATTGAGTGAAGAAGACAAGCTGGTAATTCAGTGATTATACAATTCTAGTTGCTCATCTCCCATTGACCCAGCTTCCAATGAACCATACACCGTTCTGGGCTGGTTCCTGGGAGCACAGTGATAGTCCCTAAACCACCTAGACTGGTACTTCATGTTGGCTCCTAAAGTCACACTTAACATTTTTTACTGAAAATAGATCTTGTAGCAGAACGTTCCTTTTCTTTAGTGGAAATTGCGTCTGCTAATTTGGACTGATAAGTGATGGAGGAAGCTCCTGGGGAGTGAAGCAAGCTCTGAAGAAGGGCCTGTGAGCTTGAGGACGTGTGGAGCTCAAACTTTTTGGATACTTCTGTTGTGTGGATGAGCCACATGGTTAGTAATCAGCAAGAACAAATTTCCAGTTTGGACCCAAAAAATGCATGAGGTTTTGAACAGGAAGAGAAAAGCTACTTCTCCTGACTGGTGAAGGGATCTTAGGCAAATTTGAGGTAGAGGTAGGGATGGCTTCCACCATCAATATGGAAACCACCTTCAACTTTAGAGCCTATTTAAGCTGGGCCCAAATTACATTAGACAGCTCTGTACTAAATTGTATGTTTTGCAAAATGCTAAGGAGATTTGTATAATCATCTTTGCATGGGAAGGGAATACAATGTATGGCTCACTATACTGTTATTTTTCTCTGACTGGGTGTTGGGTTTGCATGCATCTCTTGGCAAAATGCCTAGCCCTTCAACAAGGAGCATCTCTTCCTTCAAGTTGGGAACATCCTCGGGGGAGCTTCCCTCTTTATGCTGTGGCAGCATGACTGCTTTAATAAGAGGGTAAAGAACTGATCAGTGCATATTGATATTGATCAAGTGACAAGTATACCGTCATGAGAAAGCCCAAGGGCAAGTGTTGAAAGGGACAAATGGAAGGAGGACAAGAATTCTAGGGGGAGTTCCGAAGAGAACATGGGGCTGAGGCACAGAAGGAGGGGTCTGCAGAAAAAGCTAATTCAACTAAAGGTCCAAAGGAGAATCAATCCAGAGTCCGAAGAAGAAGGGAGTATGTCCTCTCAAAAGTTGGTTAAAAGTAATGACTCAGACTTAGACTGGGAAGGGGCGTGGAGTCCAGGTGGACCAGGAGTACATAAGGCACTGTAAGTCAAGAGGCAGAGATGTCTTCTGCATTTTCCTCTTTTCCCTTGTCCTTTCTGACTCTCTTCTCCCTTTTTATACCTCTTTCCTTTCTCTGAATGCTTAGATAGACTTGATTTTATTTTTATTCATTCATTAAAGTTCTTGACCATCTTGTACCTCAAAGTACAATATTACAAATTCCCCTTGACATAGGATGTTCACAAAAGGCCCTTGCTTATAGCCCAATTAGACAACTGCAGAGAGCTTATTATTTATGACCCATCCATAGCAAAAAATACAATGCTATATTATTTCCTTTACAACCAATAGTAAGAACATTTAGAAATGGTTAGCAGGGGGGCACTTGGGCGACTCAGTCAGTTAAGCATTAGACCCTTGATTTCATCTCAGATCATGATCTCAGGATTGTGAGACTGAGCCCCAAGTCCGGTTCCAAGCTCAGTGGGGAGTCTGCTTGAGATTCTCTCTCCCCTCTCTCTCTGCCCCTCCCCCACTTCATGTGTGCATGCACTCTCTCTCTCTCTCTAAAAAAAAAAAAAGAAAGAAAGAAAAAAAGAAGAAAAGGGATATCAGAGAATGGGTAAAGCTTTTGGCCATGGGTACAGGGCAAATTTAATTGGTTGATATTGATTTATTTAATTGCATATGCACTGAACATGTTGCGGTGGTGAATAAAAAGTAAAACCCACCTAGAATGCCACTTACCATTTGACTTTGGTGACTGAATAGTTGGTGGTGTCATTGGGAATACAGGAAGAGGAGATACATGGGGAGGGGTAGACTGGGACAAAGTTTTGGGCTTTAAGGGTGTTATTGGTGACCCAGATGGTAACTGCCAGATATGTGTGTTTAAAGCTCTAGGGAGATTAGTTTTTAAAGCATGTATTTTAACTTTTTGTTGAGGGTATAAATTTGGACAAGATCCCACATGAAAACATGTGCTAGAGTGAGAAGAGTGAAAGTCAAAGCACCTGGGAATATGAATACTTAAGGTTTATCTTATTCATATTATCCTGGGATTTGGACATGCAGAACAAATCTCATGAATGCAACTTCCAGAAAAGTCTCTCTTGAGAGTTATCACCACTGGTATGTCACTGTTATTTATTGCTTTTTTAAAAAAGTATTGAATATTACTTTGGCTCTATTGCAGTACAACTTTTAAATTGTTTAAGAAAAAGATGTGACTTACAGTTCTTTGACAGTAGAGTTTACAAAATTCCATAAGATAATCACACCATTTAAGGTTCCAGCAGCTATCAAATTATATCCTTCTACTTGCAATAAATCAATGCAGTTCACTTCCATACTGATGGCAGAACTCTGAAGAAGGAAGGAAACAGACTCATGGACCATCATGAACACAGTATCTAACCATAGTACAAATGTTATTGTGTACATTTTATTAGTCTATCATTAAAACCAAATGTCATATTATGATTTTTTTGTTACTTAAAATTACTATTACTAATTACTATGAAATTTAGTAAAATAGAGTTAGTTTTGCATTAAAGATTTTTAACTTGTTGAATTCATTAAAACAAAATATACTCTTCCATCTACTTGGCTCCTTCCTCTCAGCCTTGACTTATTCTTTCTTGACCAACCAACCGTGAGATCACCTTGCCGTCCTTCTATTCCATTTAAAATTCTTGAAAATCTTCTGCATTGGCTGATTCTCCTTATTGACCTCCTTTTCACTCACCATTTGGCTTCTGCTCCATAGTACACAATGAAAACCCTTTCTTTAAGATTCATTTATTTGAGAGAGAGAGAGAGTGAGAGCACACGAGCAGAGGGAGGGGCAGAGGGAGAGGGAGAGAGAGAATCTCAAGCAGACTCCCGCTGAGTGCAAAGCCTGAGGCTGGGCTTGATCCTAGGATCCTGAGCTGAAATCAAGAGTCCGACACCCAACCAACTGAGCCACCCAGGTGCCCCTGTGAAAACTTTTTCTATTTATCACTAAGCACTTCCTTCCTTCCTCCTCTCCCTTCCTTCCTTTCGTTCTTTCTTTCGTTCTTTCTTTCCTTCTTTCTTTCTTTCCTTTCTTCCTTTCTTCCTTGATCCTATTCATTTATTTGAGAGAGAGCGCACAGAGGGGTAGGGAGAGGGAGAAGCAGACTCCCCACTGAGCAGGGAGCCCAACCCCAGGACCCAGGATCATGACCCAAGCTGAAGGCAGATGCCCAACTGAGTGAGCCACCCAGGCACCCCATCCCTAAGCACTTTCTATTGCTAGTGCTATTTGGCAGTTTTTTTTTTTAAAAGATTTTATTTATTTATTCATGAGAGATAGAGAGAGAGAGAGGCAGAGGCAGAGGGAGAAGCAGGCTCCCCGCGGAGCAGGGAGCCCGATGCGGGACTCGATCCCGGGACCCCAGGATCACGACCTGAGCCGAAGGCAGACGCTTAACCGACTGAGCCACCCAGGCGTCCCTATTTGGCAGTTTTTAATTGTCTTGCTTCAAGTATTTGTTGGGCACCTGCTGTTAGGCTCCTGAAATACAAAGTCAAATAGAATGTCTGTGACCTGGAGAAACCTATAATATAATGAAAGTATTAAGATAAAGTACTGTACAATTTAAAAGTGCTATATTGGAGGCAGACTCAAGACTTTATAGGAACATAGAAGAGTGACATCTAAATAAGATTAAAGGTCTGTTATACAGATGGCCAACAGGCACATGAAAAGATGCTCAACATCACTAATCATCAGGGAAATGCAAAAACCACAATGAGATATCACCCCACACCAGTTAGAATGGCTAAAATCAAATGACAAGAAATAACAAGTGTTGGTGAGTATGTAGAGAAAAGGGATCTTCGTGCATTGTTGGTAGGAATGTAAAGTGGTGTAGCCACTGTGGGAAATAGTATGGAGGCTCCTCAAAAATTTTTAAATAGAACTACCATATGATCCAATAATCCAACTACTGGGTATTTACACAAAGAAAACAAAAACAGTAATTTGAAAAGATATATGCATCTCATATGTTTACTGCAGCATTATTTACAATAGCCAAGATATGAAAGCTACCTAAGTGTCCATCAATAGACAAGTGGATAAGGATGTGGTGTACACTCACACACGTACAAAACATACACAGGAATGTTACACAGCCGTAAAAAGCATGAAACTTGCCATTTACAATGACATGGATAGAACTACACAGTATTATGCTAAGGGAAATAAGTCAGTCAGAGAAAGACAAATACCATATGATTTCACACATATGTAGAATTTAAGAAACAAAATGAATGAGCAAAGGAAAAAAGAGAGAGAGACAAACCAATAAAGAAACTTTTTTTTAAAAGATTTTATGTATTTATTTGATAGAGAGAGAGAGAGCATTATCAGGGGGAGCGGGAGAAGCAGGTTCCCCACCGAGTAGGGACGCGATGCGGAGCTCGATCCCAGGATCCCGGGATCATGACCGGAGCTGAAGGCAGACGCTTAACTGACTGAGCCACCCAGGCGCCCCAACAAACTCTTAACTATAGAGAACAAACTGCTGGGGAGAGGAGGTTGTGGAGGGATGGATGAAACAGGTGGTGGGGATTAAAGAGTGTACTTGTCGTGAGGAGCACTGGGTGATGTAGGGAAGTGTTGAATCACTATATTGTACAACTGAAACTAATATAACACTGGATGTTAACTCTACTGGAATTAAAATTTTAAAAAGGATGGGATCATGCCATTTGAGAAAACGTGCATGGACCTAGAGGATATTATGCTAAGTGAAATTAAGTCAGATTGAGAAAGACAAATACTATATGATCCCACTCAGAAGTGGAATCTAAAAAAACAAATAAACAAAAAGCGGAATTGAACCTATAAATACAAAGAACAAACTGATGGTTGCCAGCAGGGGAAGGAAGTGAGAGGTTGGGCAAAATGGGTGATGAGGAGAGGGGAGACACAGGCTTCTAGTTATGGAATGAGTAAGTCATGGGAATAAAAGGCACAGCATAAGGAATAGTCAATGATACTGTGATAGCAATGTATCGGGACAGATGCTAACTACACTTGCAGTGAACATAACATAATGTATAAACTTCTGAAATCACTAAGTTGTACACCTGAAATGAATGTAACATTGTGTGTCAGCTATACTCAAATTTTAAAAAATGATTACAATTCTTGTCACTCTCAATTGCTCTCTCCTTCCTGAAACTTCTTACTCTACTTCTTACCAGACTCCTAATTTTGCTTGTGTCCATGTGACCTTCTCTTTTCTGTTTCCTACTTGATACCCTCTTACTCTGCCGATCTGTTAGATATTAATATACTGAGGGTTTACCTCTATCCCATTTGCTTTTTCTTTTTTCCAACTCCTTTTGGGCAATCTTGTTCCCTGTGTTTTAATAATCATCTCAATCTCAATGCCCTAATAATCTAGTCAGTCCCCTCCCATAAGCTTCAGGGTCGTATATTTAATTACTAAGAAATTTTTTTACAGGTATCTCAAAGTTAATATGTATAACTTCTTGCCTCCTTCCAGCATGTTATTTCATTCTATTCTATAGCTCACTGGTAGCACCACGTCCCAGTCCATCATTCAAGTTAGCTCCACGCTGTCCTTGATGCTCTCCTTTCTCTTAGGATCCTCCTCTCTCAACTGCATGACATCAAGCCCTAATTAGCAAAGCCCAAGTGCTGCTACTTTTGCCACCAAAATATTGTTTGAAACCTCTCCTTCCGCCATCCTCACTGTCATGGCCTTATGTCCCTCAACTAAAACAGTGGATCACTGCATGAATCTTCTGCCTGCAATCTTGTCCCATTCAAAACTGTCATCGAGGGGCGCCTGGGTGGCTCAGTCGTTAAGCGTCTGCCTTCGGCTCGGGTCATGGTCCCAGGGTCCTGGGCTCGAGCCCCACATCACGCTCCCTGCTCAGTAGGAAGCCTGCTTCTCCCTCTACCACTCCCCCTGCTTGTTATTTCCTCTTTCGCCGTCAAATAAATACACAAATAAAATCTTAAAAAAAACCCCAAAAACCTGTCATGGAAGCAGCATCATAGATGCTGCCCACAACACCAATCTGATTATGCCATATCTCATTTGAAGCCCCTCACTGGTTTTCCATTTCTTATACGAGATTCAAGTGCCTTAACACCGTGAGCACGATCCAACTCCTAGCTATCTGCCCATCTCCATCTTCCCTCACTCCCTGTCTTTCTTCAGCCACAGTCACCTTTGTGACATTTTTGATTTTATCTCCTTCACTTGGCATTCACTTTGTCTTCTGGACTCCCCCTAGAAACTTCCTATCTGGGCCGAGCTAAGTCTTGGTAATTCTTTCCGACCTAATCATCAACTATTTTTAGGACCCTCGTCTGGCCTAACCCTCCAAGCTCTCTGCTGGGTTGCCATCGTGCAGTAGAACAGGTACCACACCTCAGTAATCTTCGCATTCCCGGGGCTAAGAACAATGCATGCTGCATAGCAGGTATTCAATAAACAGTGCTTCCTAAATGGAAGAGTTTTAGAGAAACAGAATTTCCATGCACAACCCAATTTGTTCCCCCAAATGACTTTCGCAGACTTTCCATCTATAGAGTAACTTTAAAATATGTTGCAAAAAAGAAGTGCTATAAATGCTCATTATGATACATACAAAACATAAGGGCTCAAAATTCAAAGATAATATACATTTTTATTATAATCCTAAAAGGCACTTTCATTTATTACTTCAATAATTTATTACAGCAGTTCTTCCTTTTTTTTTTTTTCCCAAAGCAAGCGTTATTCATTACCCATATAATAACTTGCCAAATTCATCAGATCTGGCTCACTGTGCATTAATCATCGTCCTTTTTTATTAGCTCCTAACAGGGAACATAGAACCAAATCGAGTGTTTCCAGTTGTGGGGAGTTGGAAGAAATGGACTAGAATGACTGTTTAAGGAGATGCATTCTGTTCTTTTAGCTTTGGCACACATTATGTGATGATGTTATCATGACCTAGTCACTGTATATTTTGATTTCAAATCCTTTAGCAAACAATGAAACCTACTTATGATTTAAACTAACTATGAATGGACTTGGAATTGCAGTGCTAAATTAACATTTAAATTTGAGGGAATTACAATCTCTCTCCATACTATGATAAAATAATAGCTTCCAGGGTCGCCTGGGTGGCTCAGGAGGTTAAGCGACTGACTCTTGGTTTCGGCTCAGGTCATGATCTCAGCTCAGGGTTGTGACATCAAGCCCCATGTGGGCTCTGTGCTCAGTGGGGAATCTGCTTGAGATTCTTTCCCTCTCCCCTCCCCTCACTCCTGCTCTCTCTCTCTCTCTCCCTCTCTCTAAAATAAATATATAAATCTTAAAAAAAATAGTTTCCAAATTCTTTGAAACAAGCTATACTATTCTCTCTTAAATTACATTTGTTTCAGTAATGACAGGGGTGAAAAACAAGACTTTTTAAAATTGCTTCCTCTGTAATTTGTGGTTTCTTGCATTCTTTAGTTTCTGACCACTTCTCTTTGTAAAAACTGAAAAGTAAGAATGGTTTGAGCTAATATTAGAGTAAGCAAATAAGGTGGATAAAGTCTCAAAAAAAATCGATCGACCTAAATTTTTACCGGAACAAAGAGGACAGCTTCCTTATTTCTCTGTTCTTCAGCCTGAAACATGCCACACACTTCACCCCTTAGGTGTGAACACAACCTCCAGCCATACTGAGTAGATATAAGCGTCTCACAAGAAATCTTACAGATTTTAAATTAATTTATCTATTTTTTGAAAGAGAGACAACCAGTCATTTTGTGAATCCTGATGGAAGTATATGACAGCATCTATGGAGTCTTATTAAAATAAAACCAAAGCTCATGCAGAGAAGCCAGGTTAGAGGAAGTACACACAGAACTAAAATTACACCAGAAGGATGCAATCAGCAAAATATAGAAAATGTAAAACTATGGCACCAACTCTCCAGTATCTTCAATAAATAAATAGCAAGGGAAGAAGAGAGAAATGGAAAGATATTTACAGATTAATAGAGATTTAAGACTTCACTAAATGCACAAATGGACCTTTTTTGGATCCTTGCAAACTATAAAAAAATATGAGGCAATCTAGGAAATTTGAACACTGTGTGATGACATTAAGGACTTCTTAAAAGTTATTTTAGAAAAGATCTTTAAAAATAATGGTGTCATGCCGTTTTTTTGAGTCATTATCATGTAGGGATACATACAGAAATATTTAGGGATGAAATGGCACAACATCTGGGATTTGCTTCAAAATAATTCTTTTCTGGTGGTCGTGGGAAGTGGTAGGAATAAAAAGGAGTAAGTTTGGCCATGCACACACAATTTCTGAAGCTGCGTGCTAGTATGTATAAGTTCAAAACATTATTTTCTCTACTTCTGTAGAATTTTCCATAATAAAAAGGAAAAAAAAACCAAGAAATGAAACTTACATTAACATGTTGAGAAAAGTTTTTCTCTACTAGCTCAACATCTGGGAAAGGAATACGCATGCTCCTATGTTTAGGAGATGTCCTCAGATGCACAGTGTGATTCACGTCTTGTAGGAAAGGCATGACATTGGGCAGCTCCCATATCACCACAAGATACGCATCCTCTTCCTTACCCTTGAACAGAAAGACAGTGAGTCCATGAAAAAATTCAATTAGCTATTTTATTTTGAGCTGTTTTAAAGATACAGAGAAAAATAGAACATACAAAGATGTACTGACCACCTGGGTATCAAGGTGGTGGATACATCATTATCAAATTATCATTACCATGATCAAATCTTAAGCCCTGTCAAGCCCTCTTTAATATAGTTCCTGTTTCTTATTCCTTCCCAGAGACCATTATTAACCTAAATATGGTGTTAGTTATGAAAATCCTAATATTTCTACATAAATTTATACATGTATTCTACATATGCATATATCATATATTGTTATACGTATATACATGTACATCGTACATATGTAACAATATTGCTTTCAGGCTTTTTTTAAGGAGGGGAGGGGCGGAGGAGAGGGAAAGAAAGAATCTCAAGCAGGTTCCATGCGCAGCACAGAGCCTGACACGGGGCTCGATCCCACAACACTGAGATCATGACCTGAGCCATAATCAACAGTCGGATGCTTAACTGCCTGAGCCACCCAGGCGCCTTGATTTTAGGCTTTTTACCTTTTTATAAATATTATCAAACTGTATGAATTCTCCTTTAACTTTCTTGTTCACTGTTAATAACATTATATTTTGGAGATTTATATAAATTATTACATGGAACTCTAGTTCATTTATTTTTAACTCCTTTATAGGATTGTAAGAATTTATTGTACAATTTCTTTATCCAGTCTTCTACTGCTAGGGTGTTGAGGTTGCTGCCAATTTTTCACTGCTTGTTTTTATGGACAGGTGCCATGGTTTCTATAGCATATGCCTGGAGTAGAACTATTAAATTGTAAAGATATGCAATTATTGACTTGACTAGATGCTACCAGTGGTTCTTCAAAGTAGTGTTATCCTTTTTCACCCCCATGAGAATTAGATGTTTTCCTTTCTTCACATTCTTGCCAACACTTGGTTTAAATTGATTATTATTATTATTTTTCTTATGATGGGTATAAAATGGGATATTAAAAAGTAAAATTTTAAATGTATTGATTATATTAGTCACATTTTCCTAATTTAGTGAGTTGAACATTTTTCATGTGTTTGTGAGCCATTTGGGTTTTCTTACCTGTCCTTTGTCCATTTTCCTCTTGGGCTGTTTTTCTTCTGGATTTGTGGGATTTATTTAGCAATTCTGTTCCCTAATACTTTCTTGTTTACCTGGGACACAGTATGTTACTTCTTTCCACAGTGTGTGACTTATTTTTTCATTGTTTTTTAAAGATATGTTTATTTTTATTGAATGTAATAAAGAGATCTTTGTGATATCTCATCTTGTGAATATGGTGTAGCTCTCTATATTTTCAGATGATTGTTTATGTTCTTTAGGAATTTTCTCCACAAAATTTTTGCATATTTTTGTTAAATTTATTTAGGCATCTTATATTTTTGTTTGCTCTTATGATGTGATCATTCTGTTTCTAACTGGTTATTATTGTTGAGATGCTCTTAATTTTTGAAGTTTTAATTTTTGTATGGGAATAAAAGTCAAAATTTTAAGGTTGGTGATTTTGCTAGTAAAACACAGATCTTTTAGGTTGAGAGCAGCTGTGGTAAAGTGGAGAGAATATTGGTCTAGACATGAAAACAACACATTTCCAGTCTCCGTTCTAGCGAGAGCCTGGGCAAAGTATCTCTCTTCCTTTGGGCCGTATTTTCCTTGTTTGTAAAGTGAGGACTTCAGTGAGTGGATGGATAAAAGTTCTTTCATGTTTCAAAAGCATTATGTTTCTAGGTGATCTAAGGTCTCTGTTATCTCATATCTATGTTAATTTAAAAGTACTGCCCAGTGGTCCCCCTACCTGCTAGGTGGGTCTTTGGTTAGAGTTTGTGCCACTTTGGGAGCAGAAGGAAGTTCAGCAATGTCCAGGAAGTGGGGTCAGACATTGACATATTGAATAATAGCTTCGTTAAGTTCATGTGCCTCCCTGATGGACACGGTGGCTCTCAATCTTTCTGAAACCATTGAGCAGTAAAATTAAAAAAAAAAAAAAAACAACTTTGGAATATTGACTTAGAGTTACTAACATTTAATTTCACCAAGAGAGGATGTGGGGGAGAAGGGGACTGGAAACTCTGCTATCATTATTTTACGAAAAGAAAGGCTATAGTTTAATACCAACAAGTAGGAAAGATACAACCTTTAAATATAAAAAGTAAAATTAGCCTTATGAAGAATTGCCCTATTTTTCTCATTTCACACCTAAGTGGTAAAACTTTTTATCTCAGGTTGGTATTGGCAGATAGGCCTTCAGGAATTCGTGCTCCTGGAAAATAGCAGTTCACATGATTCTATGAACATGTATTACATTAAATGCTTGGGAGATCTTATGCCTGAGGGATTCACATATAGGGCTATAGGACTAAACATATAAAGTTACATGGATGGAAGGACAGATAAAGGGAAGTAAGTGGGTCTTCAGTATTCAGTATTTGAAGTGTTAGTATCTTTTCCACATCTGTTTCTTTTCTAATTCAGGAACCCATATTATTTGCATATTGGGTCTTCTGACTCTATCCTCTCAATTTCTTATATAGTGAGTGAACTATTTTTGGGTTAATTACTCGAAATCTCTGAACTCCCACACCACTCTGTTCATGATGTTATAACAGTAATATCTTACCAATCTATGTTTTTTTTAAAGATTTTATTTATTTTAGAGAGAGTGTGCTCACAATGGGGGAAGGGCAGAGAGAATCTCAAGCAGACTCCCCGCTGAATGCAGAGCCCATTGTGGGGCTTGATCTCACCACCCCGAGATCATGACCTGAGCTGAAATCATGAGTCCAATGCTCAACTGACGGAGCCCCAATAAACCCCAATCTATGGTTTTTATCAACAATGGTTTGGGGGCAAATTTATCCCAAATTTATAAAAATTTTTTATACAAGCAAGATGTAATTCTGTCTCCTTAAAACAGATTGTGAAACGATTATTATTTCCTTCTCTTGTGGTCAGGACGTTGCATTGACAGGCTAGTCAGTTCATAATCTGCCTTCCCATGACATGGCCAGAAGACCAGGCCTGAAGAAGTTCATACAGTGACGTTTGTGACAGGACCAGGCAGTGACCCAAGCATGTTTTTGAGACTTGGGAAAATAAAACCAAGAATGTAAGTGCAAGAGAGACATTACAGCTCAAGCCATTAAGGACTGGTCTGAAGACATTAAGAAGAAATACAAAAATCATATGGGGGCTTCCCCTTAGCTCATTACACATTAGCAGAGTTCCCCGAGTAATAGAATATGACTACTGAAGCAGTTTTTGCGTATTTGTTTCTTTAATGCAGCTGAGAGTCCGAGAAGATAGTGGCTTGGTACATCTTTCCTGTACTCCACTCCCGGCTCTGACTCCAGGAACAGTTTCTGGAGGCAAGCAGAGGATGAGGGTTGGAGTTTGGGGAAAGAAAGTTATTATGGCATTGTCACCCTTTGGGCTGAACAAAAGCCTGGGGACCAGGGTGGGAGAGAGTCCAAGGGTAAGAGTTGAACACGGTGATTATTCCGCAAATATGCTCAAATCCCCAGGAGGAGGTGGGCCCAGGGGGCAATGTGAAGTATGGCATATACCTAGTGTTCCTCAAGGAGTTGAGGAGTAGCTGAACAGCTGGCCTGAGTCTTCCATACTTCTGAAATTGGGAGAGAGAATGGGAGGCAAGAAGGCTTCCTGCTGTGGTCTCCACCGGGGAGTGCTGTGGGGACTCTGAACAACCACCCCTCAGGAAAAGCATGACTGCACACCTCACCCTCTCAGGATTGCCACCTCTTGTGCTTTTCTAGAAGCCAAATCCTAATGAGCAGAAAAAGAAACGTAGCTAAGAGGGGCTAGTATCCAGAGGGAAGAACTACAGACAAAACATGCAGAACAGATTCTTGACTTAGACTGCTGGAAGTGTGTTAACTTGAGCAAAATTGAAGAGTTCTCAAGGAAGTTCAAAACAGAAACAAAACAACAACAAAACATGGCCTTCAAATGTAAGAATTTGGTTGGTGAACTGAAAAAGAATTAATTTCTTTTTGAGACTTGAACTAATAGCTTAAAAATAGAGAAAAATATTTCAAAACAGCATGACTAAAAAGAAAAAGAAAACATATAGAAAAATATAAGAAATTGAGAGGATAGAGTCAGAAGACCCAATATGCAAATAGTATGGGTTCCTGAATTAGAAAAAAAAACAGATGCAGAAAAGATACTTAATAAACAAATAATAATACAAAAACAATTCCTAAGCTGGAAGAAATATCTAGGACTGCAGATTTAAAAGTCTCCTGTGGAACTGATGAGAAAACATACGCATTTAAGCAAAGCCCTTAAACCTCTGGGACAAAGATAACATCTAAGTTTGCAAAGAGAATGCATAAGTTACAGAGGAAAAATAATCAGACCAGCATTGGACTGCTCACTGGCAACATCGTTCCTTCAAGACTGTGAAGTGACATACTGACTTCTGAATCAAGTCCCATAACTAAAGGATTCCAAAATATTCGCTGAGAGTTGGTACCAATTTATACTAATGTTAGCTGCGTATGAACCCTCCTATTGGTTCACAGCCTTGCTGAAACTTAGTATTATCAGATTTACTTTTTTAAACCAGTCTATTGGGTGTATTATATCTACTGTAATTCCAATTTGAATTTCCTTGATTACTAATGAGGTTTAGCAATGTTGTATATGTTTATTGGCTATTTGGGTTTGCTGTTTTATGAAGTGCCTCTCTTTTTTCATTTTCTATTGAACTAATTACCTTATTTATTATCTAAGAACTCGGGATACTAACTCAGTTGGTTATTATGTGTTGCAAATCTCTTCTTTAACTCTACTCTTGTCTTTTAACTCTAATCATGATGACTTCTGATGAAGAAGGTTATTAGTTTAGTGTAACCAAATATACCTTTTTTTAAATAGTGATTTTTGAGTCTTATTTAAGATATCTTTTTCTCTTGAGTTCATAAAGACATTGTCCTATATTGACTGCTAAACCCTATATTGTTTTGTCTTTCCATTAATATTTTGAAGTCATTAATCCACAAGGAATAGTCTTAGATAGGAGAAAAAAATTATATTTCTTTTCCATATGGATGTCTAGTTGCTCCAAAACCTTTTATTGAAAAATATATTCTTGCCACACAAATCTGCTATGTCACTTCTGTTGTATATGGACCTGGTTTTGCTCTATTTACTTATATCTGTGCCCAAACCTTCTTGTCTAGTTTTCTTGTGCACTTAATTATCCTGACTCTGGTCTGAGGGAATGTGCCTTTCTCCAGAATGGATTTGTACTTGTTTCTGCCAGGTGCCTGCCAAAACTACCAGTTTTAAATCAAGTTCATAGCTGAGATTTCCTTGACCCCTAAGCATTGCCAATCTAGCCTGTAAATGCATATGAGACACTTGTGGCCACAGTTCTGAGGGACAGGGTTTTGTCTCATCTTGTTTTGTTTTCCTACTCTTCTCCCTTCTTCCCTGCTTGGTTCTGTGTGAGGGCAGCTTTTCCTGCCTTGCTCCTGGGAGGCTGGTTTCTTTCTTTCTGGTTTACCTTTATGCTGATAGTGTAACTTTTGGGTCCCAGCATATTATGGACATGGTATTAAATTCTTTGCCTTAGGCAGGCCCTGGGCCTTGACTTTTTTGTCTCTCCTAATCAGATGAGTCTCCAAAATTGAAACCTCATTTGCTTTGGAAAATGCCCTTGAGACAAAAAATAGCAAGGGTGTTTTAGTTCTTCATTTACCTTTCTCATCCTCCAGTTTCACTAAATTTTTGTCTGCTATTTAGTTACTAATATTGTCAGCTCTTTAATGCTAGTTGAGAGATTCAGTAAATATTTTATTCAGAACTTTTCATTGTTTTCAGTGGAGGGTGGGTCTGAATAATCAAGTTCCTAAATACCTTATTTTCCATAGAATCTTGGGACTTGGAAGAACATCTAGCACGTATGGAGCACAAAAAGTGTTTCTTGAAATGTGAAAATCAGTGGAAAATGAAATCTTCCCTGGCTCCATTTTGGCTAGGCACTGCCCACTACAGTAAATTCATGTAACACTTTGTGCAAGTATTTGTAACACTTGTACTAGGTAGATCAATATCAATCCTTCATATTAAACTGTAAGTTCCATGATGAAAGGGAAGATATCTTTCTGGTCCATGAGACACACTTACTAAATGCTCATTGAAAAAAAAAATGAATGAATGAAAGTACATTCATTGAACAACATGCAGGTTAGGAGTGATGAGCCTTACTCAGTTGAAAATCCACATACAACTTTTGACTCCCACAAAACTTAACTATTAATATCCTACTGTTGACTGGAAGCCTTACTGATAACATAAATAGATGATTAACACATATTTTGTATGTCTTATGTATTATAAGCTGTATTCTTACAATAAAGTAGGCCAGAGAAAAGAAAGTGTTATTAAGAAAATCATAAGGAAGAGAAAATACATTTATAGTACTGTACTGTATAGCATAGTACTATACTGTATTGTAAAAAATCTGCATGTATGTGGACCCACACAGTTCAAACCCATGTTGTTCAAGGTCATTCTAGAAAATAAGTATGTAAATCAAACCATATCTTATTTTTAATAGGCAAATAACACTGAGTAATAGTAATAAGGCATTAACCATAAATTATAAGTGTGCTTTCGACATTATGCTTAGAGCTTAAAGCTCTTCCCTCCAACATTATTAAACATTAATAAAAATTCCCTAAAATTTCCCAAACATTGGGGCACCTGGGTGACTCAGTCAGGTAAGCGTCTGCCTTTGGCTCAGATCATGATCTCAGGGTCTTGGGATCAAGCCCCACGTCGGGCTCCCTGCTCAGCAGGAAGCCTGCTTCTCCCTCTCCCTCTGTACTCTCTCTCTCTCTAGCTCACTCTCTCTCAAATAAATAAATAAAATATTTTAACCCCCCCAAACCTTCCCAAACATTTACTATTATATATTTTATAAAAAGTTTCCTGTATTTCTTCATTTTCTCAATCCTTGATGAGCACCTGCTAGGGCACAGCAAGAATACAAGTACAAATAAGAGAGATTTTCAATCTTCATCAAGCTCAGTCTATAGATTTTGGAGACATGGAGAACGAGAATAATCAAAGTGACAAATGCTGCAGTAAAACCAAAACCAATTTTGATGTGGGAACAGCACCAGGCTGGTTTTTTGCAATCCTTAAAAAAGGAGTGTTTGTTATTGTCATCGTCTGTTAGGAAAAGCATACTGATGGTCAACTGCACTACCTTAAAGAAGGGAAATCAATCCATTGTTGTGTTGTAGAGTGTATTATTAAGAAATTCCTTCCTATGCTGCTATTTGAATTGCTCAGACAACGTGGGAAGAATATGTTGAATCAGGGATGTTTTTCACTCCTTTTTTCCAGCAGTAGAGCCATCAGTCACCTTAATAATGCTGAAATTTCATGATTGCTAAACTAATTTAAGATTTTTTTTTTCTGATCTTAGCTTTCAGAAGGGGAAAATAAAGTCAAAGAGTCCTTGAGTTCTAGGCAGAGAGAGATCCACTCAGTAACCAGGATAAATGATCTAGCCTTCATTAAATATGAAGTAGGCATTAGCATTCTTTGGTGGTAATAGACTCACAGAAAAAATAAATTAGACTACCTCAATCCTCCTGGCCCTGAGCAGATTGCATCATTAACCTTAAAGTAAACAAAGCAATTTTGGTGACAAACTGAAAAAGTGACTTGAGCATCCCTGAATGCATTATGGGTTCTCAGGACAGAGAGGAATCACTGCTCCCTTTCACAGAGCCTGCTGGGGAGCAGCTCTGTCAGTGAATTATCCCCAGATGAGGGTATAAACAATGTCAGAGGTGGCAGCTGTGGGTAAGTTTCGCCTTGCTGATACCTGCTCCAGAGGTTCCTGACTAATCCTTCAGCAAACCCTGGGTGGGTGAGATGCTGTCCCTGAGTAGCCATTCTTTTTTGCTCTTGGCTTGGACCTGGGCAAGGATGCTCTTAATTAAGAACCTCCTAGGAAGACTGGTGGAGAAATGCTATTCCCAGCTGACTGGCAGGAGAAGAATGAAATGGGGCTCATCCAATAACTCCGCCGATTTTCCCAAGAAGAGCACATAGAGTACAAATATAAAACTGGGATCACACACCTGGACCATTTTGATTTTCCCATTGCACTCCAAGGTGAGGACCAAATGCTGGTGTTTTTCCTGGGCTTTCAGGAAAATCAGGCGCTGAAGCCAATGTTCTTCCTCCTTCCAGTCTTTCCCTTCCGGCAACACTTTCATCTCCTGCCCACTGCCGAAATCCCAGATTTTAATTGTTCCTAAGCACACAGGAAGAAGACTATGTAGATACAAATAACTTATAGAAAGCTTGGCTTTTATCTCAGACAAAATTGATCTAATTGAAAGCGTTCTGCCAACAATTTATCCTATATTTATTTTCTACTAAGACTGACGAGTGAATCTCAGCCTTGCTGTGCACAAAATACATTTCTGTATGCCTTTGTTTGTCACAGGCTGATAAAAATTAACATGACTAGGCAAGGTCTTGAAATTTGTGACAGTTTTCTTGAAACACTCAGACTCTCCTAGCTGAGCTTTCTGGCTGAAGTAGCTCTTTTCTGCCCTTATTCTCCCAAACCCTCCAGTTTGCTAAATACTCCCCGATATTTTCCCATTCATTAGTATCATGCCACAATTGTCATTCACAGTAAAAGATCAATCCAATGACATCACATTTCCTAAGGTGCTGACGTGTTCAAAGACTTTTGCTTTTTTTGGGTAATAAAACATTTAAAGAATTCCAGCAGGTAGGAATCTATCAAGCTTTGAGTTGTTTTATCAGCTACATGGGAAGGAAATGCAACAAAGGCATTGAGTTTCTTCTTACATTTGAAATCATACTTTCTTTACAATTAACTTGGGTCATTTGATTTAGGGGAGCTTGATCAAGGGGCCAGGAGGTGTGATAAACAGTGTGGTTGTTGAATGGCTATTTCTAGATCATCACTGTGTAGGAATTCTCTTCACATGGGCATTTTTAGTGGTTTAGTATCTAGTGGACTGCTCCTCACAGCACTTTCTTCCCTTTGCTTGACCCTAATCCCACCCTCCTCCCCAACATCACATCCCCCAGCTCTATTCCTGTTGGACATCCATAATGTTCTCACTGTGTTGTTTTTATTTCCTTCTGCCAGGTTCTCTCTTTCAGCAATACTCACAACTCCTACCATTTGTTTGTTCACAAAATCATTAAACACTAACTAAATTCTCCCTATATACTCAGCACTATGCAAGGAGCTGTGAATGCAAAGCGAACAGGCATGGTTCCTGCCCTCAAGCACTTTATGGTTGTGGAGGAACATAGTCATACAAACAATGAAAAGAAGGAATGCTCTCATTCAGTCCTGCATATGTGGACCACAGTGTCACAGCCCAGATTTCCTGCTACCTTGAGACTTTAGCAGCCAAATTAAATGGGGCAGAGGGTGGGGAGAAGTTTTGCTTGGCTTAGGTGGTGGGTGGGTGGGTGGGAATGAGGGGAACTGCTGGCTTGTGAGCAGAGCTGCTCTGAGAGTCAGAGAATCCTACTTTCCAGGGTGTCCTAGGATGTTGCAGCATCTTTGTCAGTGACCTCTGAGGAGAACAAACTGTCCATGTTTAAAGAAATTCTAGACCCTAGCACTAACAATGAAATGGACTTGCTTGCATGAAAACAAAACTATCTTAGTCATCTGTATGAATTGCTGACGCTTATGCCTGATAACAGTTGTGTCCACTGCTCAGAAGTTCTATTATAACTGATTTTCATAAGTGTGTAGAGAGTGCTTCTAGAGCAGTTAAGACTGCTTTCTTAAGAATTGTCCCACATGCAGAGCAGTTGCATTTATTCACACCCCATCAACTTAGCATTCATGATTTCATTTCATGTGGACGTTATCTGTCACACAGTGAAAAATCAGACTTTCACATCAGGATGTTCACTCATCCCACCAACTGGCTTCCAAGTAAGAATTTCTTTAGTAAATATATCTCTAGAATAAATAAACTATGAGTAGTGCATACAAGTCGGTCATACTATCTAGATAAAGTAGTTCTTTCGTGGGAGGTCAGAGCAAGGTGAGGTGAAAGGTGAGGCAGGCTGGAATGCTTAGTTCTAGAAAGTTCTACACAGTGTTCCATAGCATAAGGAGCAGCAAGCAACATAACACCACCTAAGCTTGACATCTTCTCAAGTTTGACATGGCACATGTCCCCAAGGAGCTGAGACTCATAAACAAGTCCAATATAGAATTCTGGGTGTTGTATAACAGAGTTGGCTGGATTTTTGTCTGGTCCCCAAATCTACTGTCAGTAAAAATATTATTGGCAAGTACTAAATCTAAATGTCCACCTCTTAGCTGATGGTACCCCAAAGTAAAAGGACAAAAGGAGTCAGTGCAACACAAGTCCTGCCAAAGATAGAATGAGATACATGTGAAAGACTTTTGCAAACGTTAAAGCAATAATATAAATGTGATGTGAGGTATTGATACCAGGACTCTGATACCCATTACAGAAGAGTCTGCTGATGTTCAGTCAGGCAGAGCAGTCTGTCCTGCATGCTGACACATTCCAGCCTGCTTCATGCTCTCTCTCTAGCCCACACAATGGATGAGTTCCTAGCACAAATTCTCAGGGCATTAAAGCAGGGAGGCCCTATTCTGGATATGAATCTGACCATTATATGCTCCTGTGGCAAAAAGAAATCCAGTTTCATCAATAGCTGCAGAAGTCAGTTCAACACTGAAGCCATGAGGGTCTAAAATCTGGTATATTTGGAGGCCAGTCTTGAGTTCCCAAACCTGTAGGAAAGAACAAAAAAATCAAATCATCCATATACCTTTCAGCTTTTACAAAAATTTGTAATATTCAAAACATCCTCAAAATTGGTACTCTGCCCTTCTAAAATCTTTTCCAACATCCTGCCCCGAATGTTGGTTTGATCAAAGAACGTTCTAACAGATGCAGTGCCGTCTAGTAGTTCTTGTGGGATCCTGGAGTGTGTCGGCTGTATACCTAGGCAGCCGAGACAGGCAGTGACTGTTCCCGGCAGCCTTGGCTGTGGAGAAAGTAGCAATTTTACTACTGTGAGCACGAAACCAGATTAGCAGCCAGATAGCAATGTAACCCTTACAAGTACAGCTGACAAAAAAATCAAACTGGGTTTATTCCCTGCTGGCACTCATCCAAATCAGCCAGGAGTCACAGGACAGAATAAGAGAACCCTGAGGAAGGAGCTCATTGACCTTTCCAAGAAGTGTTCTGATTAGGGACACGGGCCTCACTCTTAGAGGGAGGGAGAGAGAGATTTCAGAGAAGGCTGTCTGTGTAATCAGGTTGGGTGTAATCAGAAAATCCAGAAACATGTGAAGACACAACATTCTTTCTCTTTGGAAACACATTTGAAGCTCTAGACCTTCAGCCTTTTGGTCTAAATCTCTCCTTCTTCATGGATCTGCCATGTTCACATGTAAACTAGACTGTCAGTGAGTAATGAAACTGCACTGGCAGGACAGACGGTCGCCCTCAAGGTCTGTGGGGCAGAGGCAGTATGAGCAAAGGGCCAGAGATGGGAAGGCGCATTGTCCCTCCAGGGAGCTGAAGACAGCCGTCGTAGCTAGAATCAGGGAGGGAGAGCAGGACCAGAGGGGACTCGTGGAATCGTCTAGAGGCCGACCAAGGGCCACTGACTGACCTGAATGAGGCCAGTCTGGACTGAGAGCCCACGTTCTCAACCTCTGAGTGCCCCCAGTACAGACGAGGTCCTTAAAGGAGAAGAGAAATGTGTGCCATGGCATGAACGGGTCTCAGAGGTCACCCATGTTCTGGCCTGAAGTATGCTCCCTCTTAAACCAATCAATCAGGTATGAAAACGCACCTAGATGCATTCCTTGCCCCCTTCTCCCCTTACAGGGAAGCCATTTCCCCCCTAGAAGTCCGTAGTTCGTGAAAACGGAGTAGGTTTTAGTTTTAGTTTTCCTCTACTTATTCTGTAGGCATTATAAGAAGTAGGTGATCATTAACTGAACTCCTGAGATTTTGGCCTGAGAAAATCTCCAGCAGATCAACATAGAAAGTCAGAGATTGAGAGGGGACTTAAAGGGTCTCCAGAGGATGCTCTCTACTGCTCCAGATGTCTCCTTTTGGAGAGCATGCATGAAATAAAAGGATGGCCCTCTGAAGCAAACCCTGCCAGCCATCACTGCTAGATGATGCACTTAGGATGGCTGCATACCCTGGCCTCTGGGGAGCATGGTAGTGTCAAGGCAGTGGAATGCAGAGGAATAGACCAACCTGGGTACACATCCCAGTTTTGATGCTTACTAATTATGTGATCTGGGGCAAGTTGCTTGAATGCCATGGCTCCTAGTTTCCTCATCTTTAAAATGGAACCCTTTATCTGTCCACATGGAACCGGCATGAAGATTAAATAAGATCATGGATTTAAGGCACTTGGCACATATCCTGCACCTATAGGGGTTATAGTAAACCTTATAAACTCCTCTCCTTTCCTTCTTACCATATCCTCTGCCCATAGCTCGGATTAAAAATGTATGTATGTATGTATGTAAGTATGTATGTATGTATCTATCTATCATCTATCTATCCATCCATCCATCCATCCATCCATTCATCCATCCATCTTAGTACTCTTTCCTTGGTATATTTCCTTTAAAGTTCCTATTCTGATAGTAAAACTAGCTTTATTTATTTAATTGAGGATGCAGCTTAATAGCAAGCAGTCTGACCTGGCTTAAAATACTTGTTTTCCATGGGTTCATGAGTGCTTAAAAATAGCTCTACTGCCAAGTCTCATCACACGTGCCACTACATTTACTTAATCACTGAAAGACTTACCTGTAAAAAGAGAACATTCTATTTTGCCTTTTTCTTTCTGAAGAGCCAATATATACTTACCTTAATGATGGATTCAGAACAGATAGTAAGTACTTGGTGAAAATATCTGTTGTAAAGCATGACATTGATTTCTCGTTCATGAGTGTGAGGAATCTGTTTTGTATCTTGTACCATTCTGGTCAGAGGGTACATGTCCATGACACTAGATCCTGGAACAGAAATAAGAATCTCACAAATACCCAACATTAGAAGTTTTGAATCACAAAGAACTTTACCCAGTCGGTCGTGTTTGGAAACAACCCATCTGTGAGATTAGTAATATCAATTCCTAGGATATCTGATGTGGTGAAGATATGCTTATTTTCTCTAAAACATTTTTGACAAATAAAGCAAATGTTATTCAGCAAGAGAAAAGCATTCATTGAGGGCGTCATTAATTTTCAAGTACAAGCTATTTGGATTCATTGATATTCTCTTTTCAGTGATCCCTATTTTTCTGTTTTTTTATTGTCTACATTTTTCATTCTTGAGAGTGCCTGCCCCATGCCTCTCCATCTGGTGTATAGTAATCATAGTGATGGGCAGCTTTCTGCTGAAGGTAAGCTTCCATTTAGTGATTGGAATTTATTGTTGAGAGCCTTTTCTGACCAACAAATGATAAAGCACTCTGTATACATGGTCTTATTAAATGTAATGAATGAGAACGGTTACAAGCCAGTGCTTACAACATCAATATTAAATAAGATTAATTTCCAAATCAACTTGGGGAAGTAGTTGAAGAGCAGGTATACCTTATTTGCATTTTCCTAAGGGTGCTCGTTTGGTTTTACAGGGATACTACAAATGGCAAATGTGATTTAACTGTCAAAATTAACTATGTATTCTGTTTTGGTGTAATGTCTAGAAATACAAATAAGAATCTCAAAGCATTTGGGCGCCTGGGTGGCTCAATTGGTTAAGCGACTGCCTTCGGCTCAGGTCATGATCCTGGAGTCCCGGGATCGAGTCCCACATCGGGCTTCCTGCTCAACAGGGAGTCTGCTTCTCCCTCTGACCCTCCCCCCTCTCATGAGCTCTCTCTCTCTCAAATAAATAAATAAATAAAATCTTTAAAAAAAAAAAAGAATCTCAAAGCATTTCAAAGATCAAACAAAATGAAGCTTCTCTTATTGTTTTGGAGATTAAATTATCAAAGGTCAACACTTTGTATTGAGTTTCTCACGATTTTCCAATCTCACCTGTTAGGAAACGGTGCCCCAGGATTTAACGAAGCCCTTTCCTAAGCTGCTTAAATTTTAAGATAAAATCTGTTCTTGTGTAAAGAAGGATTTAAAAGGTTTTTCTGGTAATATTTCTCAGTTCACCTCCTACACTGTTGGTGGGAATGCAAACTGGTGCAGCCACTCTGGGAAACAGTATGGAGGTTCCTCAAAAAGTTGAAAATAGAGCTACCCTATGACCCAGCAATTGCACTATTGGCTATTTACCCCAAAGATACAAATGTAATGATCCGAAGGGATACGTGCACCCCAATGTTTATAGCAGCAATGTCCACAATAGCCAAACGATGGAAAGAGCCAAGATGTCCATCAACAAATGAATGGATAAAGAAGATGTGGTATATATATATATATATATAATGGAATATTATGCAGCCATCCAAAAAATGAAATCTTGCCATTTGCAATGATGTGGATGGAACTAGAGGGTATTATGCTAAGTGAAATAAGTCAATCAGAGAAAGACAAGTATCATATGATCTCACTGATATGAGGAATTTGAGAAACAAGACAGAGAATCATAGGGGAAGGGAGGAAAAAATGAAACAAGATGAAACCAGAGAGGGAGACAAACCATAAGAGACTCTTAATCATAGGAAACAAACTGAGGGTTGCTGGAGTGGAGGGGGGTGGAGGGATAGGGTGGCTGGGTGATAGACATTGGGGAGGGTACGTGCTATGGTGAGCACTGTGAATTGTGTTAAGACTGATGAATCACAGACCTGTACCTCTGAAACAAATAATACATTATATGTAAAAAAAAAAAAAAAAAAAAAGAAGATAGTAGGAAGGGAAAAATGAAAGGAGGGAATTGGAGGAGGAGACAAACCATGAGAGACTATGGACTCTGAGAAACAAACTGAGGGTTTTAGAGGGGAGAGGGTGGGGGGATGGGTTAGCTCAGTGATGGGTATTAAGGAGGGCATATATTGAATGGAGCACTGGGTGTTATATGCAAACAATGAATCATGGAACACTACACCAAAAACTAATGAGGTAATGTATGATGACTAACATAACATAATAAAATTAAAAAAAAGTTTCTCTGTTCAAATAATCTAATATAGAAATATGACAGGAATATGGTAGCCAGATAGCCAACACTTGGAACTTCCTGGTAGATCCTTTAACATTATATTGTGACTAGCTTTATTCAGAACTGACACCAACAAAGCTAGATATGCTTGTGAACCTGTGGTAATCCTCTATGTTTTCAGTGAGTTATACTACTGCTGTGGAA